GTTGCTGACATAAAAACTTTTTATTATTATACATGAATTTATTTTCCACGTCTACAGTAATAAAAAATACCAATAAATTTTTCAATAGAAACTTTTACATTTAAACCCAAATCAATTTATAAACTTATTTAACAATAATTAAAAAACTTTTTTTAATTAAAAATATTAATTTTCAATAAATTTTTCAAAGCTATTATTAGATTATACTTTTAAAAATGTTACAATACTAATTACAGGCTTCACAGCATAAAAATTGCTGGAAAAAGGGAAATAGGGGAAATTGTGACGAAGCTGAAGTACGCAACGTTTATAATAAACGATTTTTAAAGAAATAATTTTTTTAAAATGTAAAATTCTATAATGTTTTGCCTAAAAAATATTTTTTTATAATTTGTTGATTAATGAAAACTACAAGAAATATTTTTTAGGCAAAAAATTATAGAATTTTTCATTTTTAAAAATTAATTCTTTAAAATCGTTTATCATAAACGTTGTGTACTTCAGCTTCGTAAATTTTGTTTGAAAAAAAGGGAAAAATAGGGTAAAATATAAAGGTATATTTTCCTTAACCAAAATGTTTTGAAATTGTTTTAAATTACACTACCGGTGAATATTTTTAAACCACCCATTTTCTTGATAAATAAAAAACATCTTAAAACATAGAAAGTATTTATCACATTAATCTCTCAAAAATGACGAGAGGATTTTTAAAAATACCCAAAAAAAAAATTTTATCGTCTTTTTTTCAAAAATTTTTTTTAATTGAAAATTTGTTTAAATAGAACAATTTAAGGTAATATATATAATGTAATCATCTTCCTTAGGTACATCAAAAGACGTATCGATTGGTATATATAAAGTATAGATTTGATTTAAATTTTAAGAAAAGAAGCAAAATGTTTATGAAATAAACATAAAGGACTCCCTCCTTCTTTTAAATGTTATTTTCAATGTTTTATAAAAATTTGAATTACATACATCTAATAAATAAACGCTTTTTATTTTTTAAATTTATTTTAAAATTAATTTTTCATAGAATGAAAATTACTTCTAAACTAATTTTTTTCTTGAAAAATACAAAGAAATTTTTAATTTTATCAAACCGAAAACAGTCTTGTAAAATATACAAAACTTAATTTTATTCGTATTTTTCAAAGAAACTGAAATTTTTAATTTATTTAAATTAAATTTAAAACAAAATTTTTAATAAATTTTCTGATGAAAAAAAATTTTCAATCCGAGGCTTGTAATATTTTGGTTCAAATTTGGATTTTTATTAATTAATATTCGAGTTTCAACATAAAATAGGGTAAATGAGTGAATAAAAGGGGAAAAATGGGAATTTTTTAAAATAGAGGAAAAATAGGGGAAATAGGGGAAATAGGGGAAACACTGTGAAGCCTGTAATTATACTTTTGAAAAAAGAAAAATGTTCAATAATTATTAAAAAAAAAATAATAATAATAATAATAATTAACTAATTCTGGGCATTTTTACGTTGACACTTCTTTTATTTATTATTATTACTTCTTTACTTTAAAAACAAAAATTGTTTTTGCATTTATAAAATATTTTTGAAACCAGTGTTAATTAGAGGAAATATATATAAGAGCAACATTATAAATTTTTCTTGAAAATTTCTTTTCATTTTTCACCGCTCATGTGAGTCGAGGACAAAAGTCGATAAAGCAGCAAGGATATTGACCTATTTCAAGTGCACCCATAGATAAAAAACATGAAAATGTCAATAACAAAACGATTATTTGAAAACATGAATCGTCCAAAAATATAAATAAAAAAGTGAGTTCATGGGAACAAAGTTCGTTATGAACAAAAATTGATTTTTCTTTGTAATCCTTAACAGTTTAATAAACGAAATTTTAATTGATTTAAATTTATAGTTATTTAGTATGCTATACTATTTTATTAATATAATAATAATAATAATAATAATAAAATATAATAGTAATAAATATAATATAAATAAATATACGAATTTATTCATTCAAAATATAACATTTATTCTGTCCTTTTTTTCAACAAATATTTTCCATTGTAATGGAAATATTTTACATATTTTTAATTTCAGTAAAAATTAATTGGCTAATTGTAAAATTTTAAATATAGTATATTTCTAAAAATTAAATTATTATTAATAAATAAATAATAATTACGAAAGTAAAAAGATTTTTTGTTTCACGAAAATAGCAGTAAAATTATATTATGTTGTCAAGCAAAAGATTTTTCAGTATTAAAAGCTCTCGCTAAATACTGAAAAGTACAAATTGAGAGAAGAGAAAAAAGAAGTGTCATTATTTATCAGTGACAATTGTTATAATTGCTGGTTCAGATCTTTTAAGTCTTGGGTTCGAGACTAATGAACTTTTCTGAGTAAAAGTTGCTCTTGTCAATGGATTCATAGAAGCACATACGCAATGCGCGAGCGTGAAAGAAACAGTAAAAGTCGAAGAAGCGCAGGCTTCACACAGAGAAAGAGAGAAGGTTCAATTAAATATTTATTTTGTGTACACTGTAAATAGTTGGGATGTTAGGGTGTAATTTTTTTACAGTTGAATATATTGACCAATTCGTAATGAGGGGGATGATATAAATAAACATAGACTGTTAATATTTCATAAATGACTTATATTTGTCAAAGGTGTCGTAACCAGATATCATATATTGACGTTTATTACGACAGGAGCGTAATTATTTTTCCCTTTCTCTCTTTTATTCGAAAAATAAATTTAAATCTTATTTTTAACTAGAATATTTTTCTAAACTAAAATTTATGTAATTTTTCAAATACAAAATTTAATGATAAATATTTTTAAATTATTTCATTTAAATTTTATAAAAAAAATTTATTTTACTTACAAAAATTAATCAAAAACTTTTATACGAAAATCAACTAACTAAAAAAATATAAAATCTGACATTCACAATTTTTTTTTAGCATAATTCACAAAGTTTGACAAATTATCAAAACGTAAATGAGATAAAATACCATGTGCTGGTTATTCGTCGTCTACCTCTTCTCATTTTACGTCATGGTTCACTTGCGCCATTTGGCATACAAAAACTAGTTGGAAATAAAAAGAGAGAAAGAGAGAGAGAGAGGAAAAAAAGGGAAACCGGACACAAAGTACCGTCGCACTTCCATTACGATTCACCTGCACGTGAATGTTTCTCCAAGTATAGTGAAGTTTCGGTGTCATCGTGTGTGCTGGAAACGTGTCTAATGGAAAGGGAAGTTAAATGGAGCAATAAGAGAGTTTTTTAAAAAAAACGCAGGAGGAGGGATAAAAAAAAACCAGAATCACCGCAAGGACAGAAAACTTTTTATGATTGTTCATTTTTCTTTCTCGAGACTCAAATCTCAATTTAAACGGAAGTCATTCAAGATCTATTTCCAGCAATTTCATGATCAGATTATGGCTTAAGAGTGAGAGAGAGGGAGAGAAATGGGGGACACAAGAGAAAATTGGAAACGTTCGTGGTAGAGAAAATTCAACAAATTTTCAGTGAACACAAAATGGAAGAGATTTGATTCAACTTTATGGAGAAGGGAAAACGAAACGGAAATTGGAAAAACGAGAGAAATTTGAAATAATAAAATATATATATATATATATATTCATATGCATATATGTAAAAGAATGGAAGCATGTGAAAAGACTTTTTACCTCTTTAAAAACCGAATAGAAACAAGTGCACTTTTAGGGATTGTAAGTCGACAAAAATTTCCTAAAATCGACATTCAACGTCTTAAATGAATGACGTTTGAACACGAAAGAGCACCAGAGGGTAAACGCCACATTCCTATTGTTTTATTCTCATGGGCAAAAATAACTTTCGGGGAAAGTTTTAATAGCCTTAAAGTACGTCAAGATATTTTGTTTTAAGAAAGTTCAACTATAATTAAATTAATAAGTTTGCACATAAAAATTTTCGCAACAAGTTTTTTTTTTAAATTTAGATTCACTTTTTTTCCCCCATAAATAATCATAATTTGTTTGTTATTAATAATATAACTTAACTGAATAATATTAATGTTAATTAATTGATAATAAAAAAAAATTCATTTTTTAATAGTTTTTTTGTTTGTTAATTATCTATAATTAAAAACATTACAAGAGTATAGAAGAAAGTTTTTCTTTAGAAAATCATGCTTCCTTTGTCAAAACGATTTATGGTATTAAAAAAAAGATTTTATAATGAACTTTTTAAGGATAAATTCAAAAAGTTTGGAAATTTTGTAACACAAAAAGAAAACATGAATTTTCTTTAGAATTTGAAAGTTGTGCAAAGATTTTAGAAATATTGCATAACCTCAAAATTCATCTTCTCATACAAAAACATACCATTATCTTTCATTATCTCTTGATCTTGTTTTTATGTACACTTCCCGATAATAGTTACTGTTTTGTCACTAAAAGCGTTAAACATTCAAACAAACAGTTATCAATGACTTTGCATGAAATAGTTGAGCATAAACTATTATGCACCCGTGTATAAGAAAATACATTGGATTAACGATAATGAACAACTACTGTTGTTCCCCTCCCAACATTGAGGAAAAGAAAAATAATAATAATAATGTCGCCAAGTACATTTAACATTTGACTTACGAGGATGAATTGAATGACAATGGTAGTGACATGAAATTGTCGACCTGCCCTTGTTGACAATGTTAAACAAAGATGATGAGTTGACAAAAGGATTGAAATGTTAAAATCAGAGCAATGGGTAGAAACAAAAGACATTGAATCGACCCAAGTTGGTCGGTAAGGAAGATTTGACAGGTGATGATTGTTGGAAGAAGCAGGATTGTAAAGGAACTTAAGAGGCAAGCGTCTAGGCGCGTAAAGTTTAGAATCAGAGATAATACAAGAAGTGGAATAAATTTTAATCAATGTTTTATAGATTGAAAAATCGTGTATCAATCATTGATATATGATAATTTATGTAGAGGTTATGAAATTGTTAAAGGTACTCACTGCTTATTTTCATGCCACCCAACGGGGGATTCGCAGGTGGCTTGTTCCCCTCGGCGAAGGAGGTGGTCCTCGGTCGCCCGCTCATCCTGACTTGTCCTCCTCCTCCTGCCTCCTCCAGGCACTTGGCCTTCTAAATATCCGGCCTGTCACTTGTTTCTGATACCGGTTCGCACTCGCCACGACTACTCGACGTGCAAATCTTGACACGCACGTACGCGTGGAGATTCCTTGTACCTCGTTACCACCTCGGTCATCAATGACAGCACGATATTCACATCGCGCGTACGCCCCGTGTTCCGTTATTCTGTCGTGCCACTCAAAGAAGAACAAATATTATTCCCAGGGCAATGTAATCACTGTTCACAAATTATTTCTGAAAAAATTCAACTTTAATCGAGTACAAGAAGTCTCCCGAGACTTGAAAATTCTTCCTGGGGAGGGTCGACGCAGAGCAGAAGCGGTCCCTAATAACCTAGAGGGGTGCACCGCGAGGGGAGCAGGGTCAACGTTTTTGATTCGGTTCGTAAAGCAAGCACGTCTGCTATATAGCACAGTCGACGATCTTTCTCTATCTTTCTCTCTCGGATTCACTCCCTGTCCCACTCTCTTCCTCTTTGTTCCTCTCCCTCTTTCTCACTCACTAGCCTGGGTTGGGTTTCTTTGGGGCGACGTCGCCGCTTCCACAGAGCTCTCCGATCGCAGAAGCGTATATGAAAATTAAAATTCAAAAGAAATTAAATTCTCCTTTTTTTCTAAACACTAGGTTAATGAAAATCACGTTGGCGCTTCGCGGCGCGATCTCTACTATGATCCCTTCCACTCCTCCATGAATCTTTCGTTGCAATTGGATTCCGCTTCCTTTTGGTACACTTCAGTGCACTTTTGATATTTCTTTTTATTTTTACCTGATTCTTTCGGCCTTTTTTTGCCCTCTTTTTTTAAAATTTATTTTTCTATTAGCCGCGTTTGCATTCAGAACTCACGTATACCATTTTTTACGCGGGGGCGACAGACATGAAATGTAACGCTCGACAAGTATACCGTTTAGGTACGTGGAAGTGGTAAGACGTTTCCGACGTCGTCTTCTGGATGTACGTACACCCAGACACACTGTTCACACTCGCGAACGCGATAATATGCGTTTTAAAGAACCACGCGAGGTCAACGCAGAAACATCCTCACCGTACACGGGAACACCACACCAATCACGGATTTTTCGAAGACTTCCCAGACATTGACCCGTTCGGGGAAGATCGGAACACTCGAGCGTCAACGAAATTGTCCGAGTGTGACGTCAACTCGGTGAACAGTAGAGGCCAGGGTTTTGTTACTGTAAATTTGATAGCTATTTCATGTAAATATGGGTAATTCTCGTAAATGTGTTGTAGATTAACGTATCGCAGAGTTAAGGTGCATTCACAGTCTTCTTTGAATTACAGTCGAGTAAAAACTCCGAAATGCGACATTTTGAAGGAGGAGCACTTTACAATTTGATTGGTTCTTCAAATAGGTGAAAATTCTTTTTATTTGGGCCATTGTGATAACAAAGTCTGATTGGCAGATAATGTTTCAGGATATGTTCTAACCAGTTGGAGACACGCATTATATAAAAATTAAGTCCAAATAATAAATTTTAAATGACCAGTTGCCCTACTCTCTATTCACACGTAAATTGGATGAGAATAAGATAATTTAAGTACTTGCCCACCTCTGGTCCAAATGACAGATGGCTAATGCAAACACAAATGAAATTTCTGTTGATTGTGAAAAATATAGACTTCTTTAATTTTTTGAAGTATTAAAATTTGTATTTAGTTGTAATAGGTAATTAGTTAATACTATAATGTCGTCAGAACATTTAGAAAAAGAGTTAGATTTAAGTAATGCTGGTCGAGGAGTTTGGTTAGTAAAAATTCCGAAGTATGTAGCCAATAAATGGGAAAAAGCCCCGGGACATATAGAAGTTGGTAAACTCAAAATAAATAAGTAAGTAAATATAATAGCTTTATTTTCTATTTCATTTTTAATTTTTAGTTCTTATTTGGCGCGCTATTATTTACTAGTTCAATGAGATAATAAATAAATGAAAAATAAAATTATTTTTTTTTTTGCAACTAAAGTTGTAGGCTAGTAAATATAAGTAATGTAATTTTACATAAAATTATTATCATTAGAAAACCTGGGCAAAAAGCTGAAGTGACTTTGAGTTTATCTGAAGCTGTCATGGTAATGAAAGATGCAGAGGAAAAAGAAATTCCTAAGGAACTTAAATTAGATGTTTCAAGTGTAACTGGACAAACACTTGGTGTCTTTTCACATATTCCTAGTAAATATATTAAATTTATTTTACTTCATCAAAATTGTAGTAATTTATGTAGAAATAATTATACAAGAAATATATAACTTTTTTCACAGCATCAGCCACATCAGACGATGTTGTACCAGAGATAGAAAAACTTTTCATGGAAGGAAGAATTGTTCAAAAGTTAGATTGCCGTCCATTTGGTAAAAAATTTTATTTCCTTAAAACTTTAATTAAAATTTTTATTTACTCTCAAGTTTAATTTAAAAAGTTTATTAAATTGTAATTTTTTAAATTATTTTAAAAATAATTAACGTATTTTGTTTTAGCTGACAAAGTCTACATGAAACTTAAGGAAGAAAGTATCAAAAAAGCTTCTATTCCTCGTAGACAAGTTCAGCAATTGGACAGAGTTGTTCAAAACTTCAAACCCGTATCTGATCATAAGCACAACGTGAGTATATCTTAGCAGAACTTAAAAGAAAAGACGTATGGAAATAACGATAATTAAACGTGAATATTTAGAAAAGTTTTATTATTATTTCATGTTATTTAAAGCTAATGATTATTTTTCAGATTGAATATGCAGAAAAGAAGAAGGCAGAAGGAAAGAAGATGAGAGGAGACAAGGAAGCTGTTTTGGATATGTTGTTTGCTGCTTTTGAGAAACATCAATATTATAACATCAGAGATTTAGTGAAAATTACTCGACAGCCAGTTGTAAGTTATATTTCCTAAATCATACTAAAATTTTAATTTAATTTTTGTTTAACTTAAAAATTTAATAATTATTTTTAAATGCTATAATTAATCAAACTTCTTGTAGGTGTACCTGAAAGAAATATTAAATGAAGTGTGTAATTATAATTTAAAAAATCCACACAGAAATATGTGGGAATTAAAACCAGAGTATAGGCATTATAAAGATGACAAAAAAGTTGGTGAAAGCAGTGCTTCCAAAGATGATTCAGATTAAATTAAAAATTGCACTTCTTAATGACGTAATTTATAAACTATGTTAATAATCTATTTTCTCTTCTTTATTTTAGAACAAAGATTATTATATCGTTATTTTTGTAAGAATGTAATTATATGTAAAGAAAATAATAAATTAAATAAACGTTTTCATATGTAAAGTTATCAAAACTTTTCTAATTTACTTCATATTACTTATAACATCTGGGAAATAATTTTTTTTTTATATAATATATCGGCAAATTTCGTTCATTTTATTTTTTTATTTTTTTACATCAATTGCTGAAAAATTCAATACAAAACAATTGTCAAAAATCAGATTTATATAAATTATTATTAATCTCATATAAAATTTTTTTATTTTATTGTACCTAATTAATTTGTAAATTAAAAATTTAATATTTATATAAGCAACAATGAGCATTCAAAATTAATGAAATTTAAAATTTTTTTTAAAATTACTATAAAATGTTATAAAAAGTGTGGAAGAAACATTGTTAATAAAAAAAATACTATTCGGAAGACAATTGTAAGGAAAGTATTTTTCTCCTTTTATAACAATTGACAAAAGACGATAAAACTTTAATAATAATACATGACTAAACATTAGCAAATGCTTGAAACATTAACATGGGATGACAGCCACATAAAACTTTCATATTTACACGTTCATTTGCCGGAATAAAAATCACTGAACCACGATTAAGAACTTTTGTTGTGGAAAAGGTAATTTCAGCTTTTCCATTTACTATTATTAATATACTTCCTACTGCCCTTTCAATTAACGTGTAAGATGCTCTACCAGCGGGAATCTATAATTCCAAGTTGAAGATATTTTTTATTTATATATTTTAAAAAATTTTTTTGTTTTATTTCAATTAAATATTAAAATTAGGAAAATAAATGTAATTTTTTTATATAAATAAAAAAAAATGAAGAAATAATTTACCGTAATTCTTGTTACTGCAAAATCAGGTACAGGAGGTCGGAAAACTTCTGTGCAATCATCCTCTCGTAATGGTTGAAAACGTTTCGCGGAACTTGGCTCACATTTGTAACTTAACATATTTATTAAAATTTTAGTGTCCTTTAATTTTGGCGTTAGGCCTGCTCTCACAACATTGTCGGAACATGCCATACATTCAATGCAATCTGTGTAATTTAAATTAAATTTAATGAAAAATTGAAAGAAAAATTTATTCAAATTATAATAGAATGAAAAAAAATTAATGTTCATATAATAATTAAATTATTATCATAAAATGAAATAATTTCATTTAAATTTGAATTATTTAACTAATTGCGTTAATTACCTCCTGAAAGATAAGCATGAGGTTCATTTGCACCAAGGTACATAGCTTCACCTGGTTGTAAAGTTATGTAATTAAAAAAATATATACCAAAGCATCCCACATCTCCTGGATAATCATTATATAAACGTTCCAATAAATTTGCATGTAACGTTTGCCTGGTAAGTTGGCCTGAAATTGTTTTACTTTGAATTTATAGAATTATTTGAAATAATAGTTGTAATAAATTAAAAAAATGTACCTAAACTAGATATTCTTTCGATGAATTTTTTCAACTGTTGTGCCACAACATTTTCATCGCAGGTCATAAGTTTTTGAAAGCACTTTTTTAAACTAATATTGAGAGATCCTTCGGTTACTATAGTAAGCTCGAGAATTTCTTCTTCACCTATAATATCACACAATTCTGGAATAGCTATTAAGTAACTTTTGATTTCTGAAATTGGACGGAAACCACAAAGAGCTTCAAATGGCGTAAGGGCAATAGCAAGCTCGGGTTTGTGATTCGAATCTTTGTAAATATTTGGCTGTGTTTTATGTAATTCTTCTGCTTCTTTCTAAACGAGAAAACAATTTTTTTTTTAAAGAGATAAAAATTTTTCTTTAGAGAGAGAGAGAGATATATAAATAAATTAATGAATTTGGATTTTTTTTAGTACCTTATTTGGATGAACTTGAATTGATAATGCTTTATTAACAGACAATATTTTAAAAAGAAATGGCAATTGAATACCAAATTTTTCTATCACTGTAGAACCTAATGTGTGATTATTTTCTTTTAAATACTCGTCTAATGATTTATTTTCATCTTTCAAAAATGATGGACCATTTGAATGTGTACCCATCCAAAGTTCAGCGTAAGGTGTTTTTTCATCTAATATAATATTTGGATTGGACGGCTTTATTAAAGTAGCGACAATACTGTCACTACCACATTTCCCCCAGGCATACGATTGATATTGGCATCTTAATTCCATTTTTAAAATCTATTGTAAAAAAAAGAAATAAAATTGATTGATAGGTAAAAATTATTCAATTTGCGAAAATTTGACATGATAAAAAATTATAAAAAATAGGATATAACTTCAACAAGAACAATTTTTTTCTAATAAAAATAATTTTTTCAAATACATTTTAATAAAAAAAAAAATTTCTTATTTTATATCCGTTTTTATGATTTTTGTTTTTTCTCTTTTATGACGTTATTAGGACATCAATTTAAAATTAATTTATATAATATAAATATACATAAATAATAATTAAATACATATGTAAAACTGTTAATGCACTATATGATGTAATACACACTGATAAAAAGTAATCAAACTAATTTGGAAAATATAGAAATATTAGACATTATAAAATCATCACCTTGATTATATCAGTCTCATATTTTGAAAACTAAACAAGTTTGTTGTCTTTGATTCACGATGAAAATCTTGAATTCATGCGTAAATCATATACAGCAAATATTAACAAACATGCACAAGTGATTTTTTTTCATTTAACGTACGTTACAAAAATTTTTTAATAAATTAAACTTTTCAAACTGTTATCTTTGATTTTACGCGTCTCTTCGGACTTTTGACATTTGACGTGGAAACAATTGTTTACACACAGGTTTTTTAAAATTATTTTCAAGGTCAGTTAAGGTTAGTTTCTAACTTGGTCATATTTTTAATCATAGATGGCGCAAAAACGTCGGTAAAATAAATACCTATCTGCACTCAAATAACAGGCTGAAATTTTGGCGGTTTAATTCAATAAAGCAAAATGTAAACTATTTTATTTAAAAAAAAAAAAGATTAAATTTAAAAAAAATTAGAAAATTCTGCAATTCATCAACAATGAAAGCGTTTCTTTATTTAATCGTTCCTTGTGTAGGATAGACTCAACACTTTTTGTTACAGTGTATTTCTTTTTGCTAATAATTAACAATTGAGCTTTTTATATAATATAGTAATAGATTTTTGCATTAAAGTTAAGCATACAAATTTATTATTCATAACATCGCTTGAAAAAAAACTATCGATTTGCGGCTTCACTACCCCTAAAGCTGTACAATTTTTTATTCTTCCATTTGTTTTTTTTAAACAGAAATCTGTCGATTTGCATAAACATAACAAAATCACTGTACATATTAAAAAATACTTTTTTCCATTAAAAAAAATAATAATATAAAGTATCATTAAAATACTTTAATTTAAAAAAAAAACTTTCTATATAAGTACACAAAGTGTTTTTAATTACAAATAAAATGGCATAAGAACCTTTTTTTTTGAATTATTAAAATTTTTTTGATCACTGGAGTCGCAGATCGTTAGTTATTTGCTATAATATATAAATGCAACGTAAATAAATCTTGACAAAAAGTCTCCTTACAAGTTATTGGTATAAAAAAAACCGTTGTAAAATGTAAAAAAAATCACAAACATCGTTATTCTTAGGCTATTTAACGATCGACGTCCTGACGTTTGATTGAATTGATATAAGAAAAAAAAAGAGAACATAGTTTGTATTTTTTAACGAGCAAGACAGTTTTAAAAACATAAAAGATTAAGGAAAATAAATTCGACGAAATAATTAAAAACAACAGAACGTGCGACAAAATCTCTCGCTCATTTGGTATCTCAGCCTTTAATTGCCTCTCATTCGCAAAACGGCTGTTAAAACAAAAAAAAAAAAAAAAAAAAAATACATATCTCTCGTGACAACACACAATTCATTCAAGGAATTAATACTCATATCGCGCAAGTATTTTTAATTATTTGAACAAATATAATTGAAATTCTCACAGAGAATTTTTTTTTCCTGTTAAATTGTCTGGCTTGTTATTATAATATTAAAAAAATTTTCTTCAGTGATGAAGAAAACAACTATATATAATATATATATAAATGTGTATTTAAAAATGATCAAGTTTCACGATAATATGATCTGATGATGGATCCGGTAATTTGACATCCAACCAATTGGCATTTTCTTGATTTTCCGTATCAGTGGCTTTTAAAGCCAGGCGATGTGCTGGAGTTGCCTTATGAGGAACCCTCAATTCGACTGTTTTCCGAAACTCCAGGCCTCGTGGTCCACACTCGACTAAGGGACTCAGCATCTGCTCACCTATTTTTCAAAAAAAAAAAAATTTATTTTTAATTTACTCGTTTTGTTAATTTTAGTACTTCACGTGCACAACTATTTTTAAGGTAATTTGTCTTATAATAATAGTCATTGTCAAAAATGTTGAAAAAAATTTTAAAGCAAATTTGAACAAAAAAATTATATTAAATATTAAAAAATTAATTCTTTAATTTAAAGATTTTGTATCAAGGCAAACTTGATTATTATTTCAAATATTTTCATTTCTTTCCAATAATTTTATTCATTTCTTCTGTACTTGTAACATTTTTTAAAGAATTTGTATTTTCTTATGTTCTTAAGTTTTTATCTTTTGTTTTCTTTAAATTGTTAAATAAATCATATTTCTCCAAATATTTTTAACTTTCTGGCAGTGACTGTCAAGGATAAATTACCGTAAGAATTAAATTGAAAGGAAAATTGAAACCCCGTTTAAAAAAAGCCATTAATTTCTTGTTTAGTGGTTAAATAATTATTATGTTTAGTAAATAGTTGTTATTTTGTAAATTCTAATTAAAGTATTAAAAGTTTGCTATTAAATTAGTAAGCAAACAAAAATGCAATTTTTTTTTTAATTTTTCACTTGTTTCTTTTGTTTATTATTGGGTTTTTTTTTCTCTCAAATCCACCACCGTGATTTGAAATGAATAAGCTCACCATGGTGCATAGGAGGGGAGATCGAGGACCTTTGGCCAAGAGTATTATAATGCATTTCAACTGCATTAGCGGCGGTTATTGTGAAGTAGATCTCTTGAAACGTATCGGGGGGAAGTGCACCAGGAGGTATCGTCAGCGAGACACCTCCTGGACCTTCCAAAACACCACCCTCGCTACCAAATACTCCTCGTGCCTTCCCCATCGACCTATGACTAACCACCGCCCCTCTATTAATTTTATGCGATTGTTATTCACATTTTCCCATCACCAAATGTTTTTCTTTTTCTTTCTTTTTTAGTAATTAGATAAGCATTTTATTTTCGCAAAAAAAAACTCATATACAATTTTTTTAATGTAACGAATTTTTTTTTTTATTTTCTGCAACTTAACATTTATTCTTCATTTTTTTTTTTGCAACTTGTATATTAAATATATTTATTAAATATATTAACAGTATGTTAAAATTTATAAATGCCAAATTTCTATTAAGTCAAATTTTTTTGAATTTTTTGATTATTCATTTATTTTCGTTTTCAATTATTTTTATAGACTAATTTAAAAAAAATAGATAATTAAAAATTTTGTTGATTAAAGATATGAAATGAAAAATCATTTAAATAGACATAATATTTAAAAAATTTCGTTCAATGAAAATTTTACATTTTAAAATGCAACTAAATAGAAATTGGACATTATAAATTCCAATATATTATAACTTAGTCATTTAATTGTTATACTAATTCGTGTATTTACAAATAAAAAAAAATTATTCCAAGCAAAATTTGAATCAACTATTGATCAAATTTTTTATATTACCTCATATTGTGATGATGCAATGGTTTTCGATAAAGTTCAAAGGCACTGCCGCGTTGTTCCCTGCTGCCAGCAAGATCCAATCCACTGGGTTCTCTATTATGTCCAGAATTTGCAGAATTTGAATTTTGACCGGAATTACCTCCATGGCTATTGCTATGACTGTGACCATTGTGATTCATTGTATTTCGATTGTGAGTGTGTCCCATTCCAATTTGACTGGCGCTATTACTATGCGAATGTGTCATCATCGGTGGACTGGAATGTGGATGTGAATGACTAAGACTATAATTGTGTGTTGGAGGAGAGGCATAATTCGTTGTATGATTTGAATTCATCGAATATGATTCGTTGCTTCGATTTGGCGGTGGAATATTGTAATAATATTGGCCACTATTTCTTTGCACGCTGCCGCCATTTTCCGTCTGTAAAAAAAGACAAATTATTTCAAAACTAATCAATTTTATTAGGATAATTAAAAATTAATGAAAATTTAGAAAAATATAAATAATTACAATCATTAAAATATAGAAATTTTTCTATTCAGGAAAGTAAAATTTGAAGAAAACTTCTTCTTACCCCATTAATCACGTGTGATGTCGCGATAGAATAACTTTTTGCATGTTGATAAAGATTACTCCCTCCATTTTCATCCTGAACAATGTTCTGTTGTTGAGGTGGTCTGTAATTCTTAGGTTTTGGTGGTGGTACAGGTTTATAAGTCCCACCTGGTTTTCCTTGCAGAGGCGGAACTGGTTTATAATTTTCCGTTCGACTATAAAACGCAAAGAATTATTATTTTTTAAAATGTTTAATGATAATTCACTTTAAAAATTTTAATTAAATACTTTATTTTATAGACATATAATTAATTTTTAATTCACAATATTAATCAGTTCAATGATATATTAAAAATATTTTGAAAAAGTATATTTAAATTTTTTTTAATTTTATTAATAAGGGAGCGTTCACAAATTACGTAACGTTTTTTTTTAATTTTGACCCCCCCCTCCCCATGTAACACGTTATTGCATACATTAGCGTCATTTTTTCTGCTATCCGTAACAAAGTGCTTGACCCCCCCCCTCTCCCAAAAAATGTTACGTAATTTTTGAACGCTCCCTAAGAACGTTTAAGAAAAAAAAAAAAATTTTAATTTCTGAAATATTCACCTATACTTAGCGTAATCTGTTCGTATTTGAGGATCTTGGGCGGGGATTGGTTGAGCGGTGGATCTCGTAAATCTGTAGGGATCATGAGGTTTTGAAACGGAAAGACCGCTTTTCAAATCGTCAGGAACGTTTGGTCCCAATCTTCCAGTAGAAGTATTTAAACCCGGCATTGGATACAGTGTATTTCCATTTGTATTGTAAGAATCATAGGAAGAAACACTATCATAACTTCCCTGCAATTTAAAAGCAAGAATCATCAATATATAACTTAAATTGAAATCTAATTATAAAATTTTAAATTTACATATATAATTCAAAATTTGTATTAATTATTATTTAATTTTATATTTTCAAATATTTACTTAAAATTTTTGATTTTAAAAAGTATTTATTTTGACCTTTGGGTAAGTCCACGTCAGAAATATCAGAATCTGCAAGTGGTTCTTCGATTTTAATGATACTTAGTAAAATTATGGTTTTATATAAGAGCAATGTGTAAGTAAAAGGAATTTTTAAAATATCTAAAATTGTAGAAGTTATATCACTTTTAATTTTGATACTGCATTTTTTTCTTTCCTTTATATCTCGGTCAATTTTCAACCGATTTTGATGAATCAAAAACGATTTTTTTCAGAAAATTTTAAAATAATAATAAAATTTTGTTATTTAAGTAGAAAAAAGTAAAAAACAAAATTTCTTTTAGATTTTTTTCAATTTCGACCTCTTTTTTTTAATTTTTAATTTTTTAATAATATTCCTTTTTATTTTATCTTTAATTTAAAAAAAAATTCATCCTGGAGACTTTTTTAGATCTCGTGATATCGTTCTTTAAATATCCACATCTCAAGAAAACTAGGATCCAGATTTGTGTTTCTACTTTCATTTGTTTTATAATATTATTGTTACAAACTAGAAACTTTCGCGTAATAATGTTTTTATTTTTAAATTACTTGACTAAAACAAGTGAAAATTCAAGCAAATCAATATTTTATTAATAGATTTGAAGCAAAGTTTTTATTTTTTGTAATATTTATATACCTGTGCACCTAAATGCAAACAAAATTTATGAAAACTTTAATATTAATATTACACATAAGATAATACAATATTACAAAAGGTTAACTAAACAAATAGTTATTCATAACCATAAAAAATTTCAACAAACAAATGAAAGTAATGATAGAAGCAAGTCCTGCGGTTTTCAAATTGATGAAGACTTATAATACTTAAAGGACAATATCACGAGATCTAAAAAAGTCTCCAGGATGAATTTTTTTTTAAATTAAAGATAAAATAAAAAGGAATATTATTAAAAAATTAAAAATTAAAAAAAAGAGGTCAAATTGAAAAAAAATCTAAAATAAATTTTGTTTTTTACTTTTTTCTATTTAAATAACAAAATTTTATTTTTATTTTAAAATTTTCTGAAAATACGTAATTTTCTGAAAAAAATCGTTTTTGATTCATCAAAATCGGTTGATAATTGACCGAGATATAAAGGAAAGAAAAAAATGCAGTATCAAAATTAAAAGTGATATAACTTCTACAATTTTAGATATTTTAAAAATTCCTTTTACTTACACATTGCTCTTATATAAAGCTATAATTTTACCAAGTATCATTAAAATCGAAGAACCACTTGCAGATTCTGATATTTCTGACGTGGACTTACCCCTTTGTAACTAAACTGGAGAATTTTAATTTGATTTAATTTTCGTTTAAGCAAAATTTTTGATTAATAATTAAATTTCGATACTGAATAATTAAATAAATCGTACCGATTTTGGTTGAGGCCTCTCAAGAGAAGAAGTGGTGTTTGCTCGATGAGGAGTAGCATTAATATAATTGCCCATGTCAAGAACTGAATCAGTCTTATTGACAAGTCGTTCCTGAGCGGAACGTCCAATTGTTCCACGTGGAGTTTGAGTATTAGGTTTCGCATTTCTATCAACACGAGGTGGAAGATCCGGAGGACCTTGATGAGGAGATCGAGGTTGAGGTGCACCACCAGGATATTGCGATGGCATTTGTGATTGATTATTGCCCTGTCCTTGTTGTGAAAATCCATATTTACTATCACCCACTCCACCTTGCGATCTTCTCTTTTGTTGATCAAATGCCTAAAATTTTTTTTATAAATTTACTATTTTTATAGCAAGTAGGTATGAAATAAGAAAATTCAAATTTTCCTTTAATTTCTAAATTTTTAATTTAATATTTTCTCAGACCAAATATAAAAATTTACTTATAAATTACTCACTTCTAAACAATGGAAAATTTTTTTTTTCAACTTTTAACATTCGAAAAACTTAATGCATTTAGTTAAGAATTTTTAGGGAGCTACTTATTTTTATTGTAATTTAGATAATAAAAAAAAAGTTTTAATTGTATATATTATTTACTCTATACAAAAATTAATTTTTACAGTTTGTAATAAAGAAACGTAATAAGCGCAAATGGTGTTGAATGATATTACCTATAGTTAATGTAAAACCCATTATTGTTACTTTTAATTTATTAATGTTAATTAACACATAAATAGATAAGTTAAATTAATGAATATTAATTTTATGAATGTCTACAATAGTTTTTAAAAATTCGATCCCTTTTGCTGAAGTGACTAAAATATTTTTTATAATGAACACAAACTGAAAAAATATTTTCTCCTGGACAATGAAATATTTTGCATTATGTATTTTTGAAAATTTGAAAATTGAATCAAAAATTTTTTTTTTCCTAATTTCAGATTAGTGATCAATTTACCCAAATTCAGATGGAAAATTTTTAATTTTTTTCTACTTGAATTTTTATTCTGAATTTGAATAATTATTATTTAATAATCAAATTATTAATTTGAGTAAATTGAAAAAATAAAATACAAATAATAATTGCCAAGAGAAAATATTTATTGAGTGTAACGATTAGTGACGATTAAGCAGGAAAACGTACCTGATAGCTGGTTGTATACGGCGGAGGAGCAACGGTGTCATCCTGAGTAGCAATGCTGGGATCTGAGCTACTCTTCAGGCGTGAGGGTTGTCCCAAAGCGCCAGGAAGGGGAGGTGCGGGGCTTAATTCCAAATCGCTCTCCGGGGAGGATGCGTAGGAGAGGCGTGAAGTCATCGGGAACAGGAAGTCATCCGAGAGGGCCTCTTCCGGCTACGCTCACAGAAAACATGGGACTCCACATTAATGATATGTTACGTGATGTAGATTGTCAGTTTGCCAAGAGATGCAATAAAAAAATAATCTTTCAAAAAGCTTTTTCAAATGCGAGACTAGTGCGTTTCTTTGCTTTATATATTCAGACTTTTATCAAAAAATTTTTAATTAGTGCTATTAGTTATTTATTAATATTTATAACATCTGTTAATAATAATGATTCCTATTTCTAGTGATTATTACAAAAAAAAGCAGTGCACCAAATTAATGTTAACAAGAATGATAATTCAATAACAATTATGTTTTTTTCCCCCACCTTCCTCTTATATTTATATAATTAATAACGAGTAACAATTTAAAAAATAAAAACATGCAATAAACAACATATAAAATTTAATAGAAGCAAATAAATTACAATAAAAATGTAAACATTAAAAAAAATATATCATGCAATGAATGTGCGAAAAATTATGCAACAAGACATGCGATTATCTCCGAGAATGTGAATAAAAATTGAAAATTTTACAAACAAACAATTTAAATAATTTTTTTTCAAAGTAAATTTAATTTTATTTTAAAAAATTGAAATTTAAAAAAAAATATTTCATTGACAAACTTATTTTACAGAAATAAAAAACATTTTAATTAATTTATTTTTCTCAAATAATATTTATTCGTTTTTTAAAATTAATTTTTTAGTGTATTTAAAATTTTTTAAATTAAAAATAGTTGAATTTTCAATTTTTATTTCTCGAAAGACTTATTGTGAAGGAACTAGAATTAAAAAGCATTGGGAGAAAACACCGCAATAGGCGTTAGGAGAGGATTTTTTTTTCAGATGTAGCCGAAAAATTGCTCGTGAATGACGTTGGATTGATGGTATTGGGGCAAAATTGTCATTGATGGAGAAGGAGGACGAGGGGGAACAATACTGATGTTGTTGATGTTGTTGTTTTGCTCGCAAAAAATGTTGGCATCGGAGGAAACAGGTGGCGTTGGAGGCCGATAAGGATGATACGGAGGGAGATACAGATCCGACACCAATTCTATGGGCTACAAACCAACACCGCACATTGAGAAAAAAAACAATTAAAAACTATTCAACATTGACTGGATTCATCAACTATACCACTGTTTTTTTTGTTTATCTAAACAAATTGCAAATGACGCGTTAATGTAAAATAAAATATCTAAATTCAAGCTTTATTAACGAATAATAAAATAAAATACTAGCTCTATTAATTAAATTAAAGATAATTCAAAGTTATTAATAAATTAATAAAGCTTATTAATAATAAGTTATTATTAATTATTAATGATTATTGATAATAATTATTAAACTTGTTAATAATAATTAATCAAAATTATTAACAACAATTAACAAGACTTGTGAAAAAAAATTAATACAGCAATTAACGCAATGAATAATAATAAAGCTTAATGATGAAAATAAATATTTTTCACAGGAAAATTATCGTGTGTTTTTTTTTTAATTCGTTTTATAATATCTTAATTAATAAACGAGGTTTTTTTTTATTACAAATTATCAGTTTAGGACTGGTTTGAGTTGTTCGGATGCATTTTTTTTAATGAACTGCGAGGCGCACAAAAAAGTGCATTATATCCCAATCTAAAAGCAAAATATCGTCAATTACCTTCGTTTGACTCATCCAAAGAGGACCTTGTTGCTGTCGATCGATTAATTCTCGGAGTTTTCGATACCAAGATTCTGGAGTTGTTAGCGTGATAACAGCGCTAAATGTATGTCCCCAAATTTTATCCAGCTTCTGACATTGCTCCAATAGTTTCTTACTACTTTTGTGTGCTGATCTAAAATATTAAGAATACAAATTTAGATGCATTAAAATTTTTAATCTCATTAAATTCTAATTTGTTGAGATTTTAAAGTAAAATTTTTTACTTTTAATTTTGCAATTCAATGTTGACTTACTTTGGAATACCAGCTCGCATTTCTTTGATGACCTGTTTGGTTTCAGCTTTCAAAAAGATGACAATTGGATAGAATTGAGCGTAATTAAGACGATCGACAGCGTTTGGTGTGATATCTAAAAGTGCATGTTTTCCTCTATCCATTACTTCTCGAATGGCACTCAGACGAATTATTCCCGAGGTTTTTGAACTTTTTCCACTATTTTCCTCCATTTGATTTTCCATTTCTAGGAGTAAATTATATTTCGTTTAGAGAAAATTAACGAAAAAAAATTAATATAGAAGATAAAAAGCAGAAAATTGGAAAAAGAGTAAACTGAGAAGAGAAGGAAAAGTAAAGAAGAAATTAATAAGTACCTAATATTTTGGAAATAATAGCAAATATACTTACGAGGTGACGTAAATTTATCAGGGAAATCCTTCAATAATTTTTCCCTAGCGAGATCAGCCACAGGGCCAAATAATACCACAGGTCTAATAAAGCCAGGATGTCTCAATACAACACGTTCGTATGCAGGAAATTTGCTCACACTATCGGAGAAAACAACATCGTCCCAATGATCCTACAAAAAAAAAAAATTATTCAATTTTTACTTAATTACAAAAATCATTGACATAAAATTACAATAACTTATTTTGACAAAAAAAAGAAAAATATAAACTTACTCTTCCGAGAGATTTTGATCGTCGATGACTTCCTCTTCTTCTTCTAAAGAAGCTTCCTCTACTTTCACTGGCACTTAATTCTTTCTTCGTTGCATTAAACTGTGCCGTGGCCAATTCTTCGGCTCGTGCTTTATTTGGAATAATTCCCTTCTGCACTTCCTGATTATTTCTTCCTATTCGGAAAATTTGCCAAGAGCCAACAACTCCATTGTGCAATGTATCCACCACATGAAAAACGTCTCCACTTCGAAAACTCATTTCACCTTTGTCTGGTTGTTCATAATGAAAATGTGTTCTAGAAAAGAAAGAAGATTATTAATTTCAATTTATTTAAGGAGTATTTTAATTTTTTATTATTTTTTAACTTTAAAATTAAGTTTATTATTGATATGCAAAAAGAATAAATTACTAACTTAATGTGAAAAGAATCGCCTCGTCCAGATGCGACGATTTGATCATATTCTTGTCGTCTATGTTGAACGATGAGATCAATTTGTTCTTGTAGGCTGAGTAAAAAGAGTACAGCTTCTTCCCTCGTCACTCCTTTCATATCCATATCATTCACCTATAAATTCATTAATTTCACATGAGAAATTTTTCAAATTTATTTTATTATTTTAAATCATCAAAAACTAATAATAACAGACAATTTCAATTATCATTATTATTTTATTTTATTAATTTAAATTATTTTTAAATTATTCAAATCTTCATTGATGTTTTGTCCCAGTTAATAATAAATAATTATAATTTCTTTAAAATTTTAAAATTTATTATTTGTTAATAATAAAAAAATAATTTAATAAGAAATATCTTTTATAAGTTGATTTATTTATTAATACCTATAATATTTAATTCCACCCCTGAAAAATTTGCTTTAATTTTTTATTTATTTAAAACTGTTCCAAAAAACGTAGTTGATGTAATATGTGAATAGAATTAAAAAAAAATATGTCGAAGAAATTGTAAAAATATTACCTTCAGAATTTTATCCCCGGGCTGTAAACCCTGAAGGGACGCAGGACTTCCGGGTTGAACGGCAGTGACGAAAACTCCAGTCTCGTTTCCTCCGGTTAATCGAACTCCAACAGAACCTTCCTTTTGGAAAGTTATAAACCGTGGATCTGGCCTGAAAAAAAGAATTTCGAACAAATTTTTTTTAAATTTCCAAAAATTAATTGAAACAAAATAATTTTTAATAAATAATTTAGATGGAAAAAAGACACAAAATAATATTTTTCTATATTAATATATGGGTGATTCTCCGCGTAGCGTATAATTTATTTATTGTTATTATGAAAAATATTTTTATACAATTTAGAAAAATTAAATTATAATCTTCAAGATTAGTGCTTAATAATGAAATATCCATGGTGGGCTGGATAAAATATTAATTATTTTATTTCCACTGAATAATACACGAGTTTTAATGAAAAAAGCTTCTTTATGACGCACAAAACTGGGGACAAGAATTATTATCGAAAAAAACATTTTTTTAAATAAATTTTTTTTCTAAATTATCTAAATTAATTTTTAATATATTTCTAATTTACTCACATTGGCTGCTTTGTTCTTTGAACAAGAGGATCTTCTTCATACAATTGTCTTCTCGAACTGTAGTAATCTATAAAAGATAATTTATTAAAATAAAACAAATTTTATTTATTTACAGGCAAAAAATAAAAATAAAAACAAACCCTCGGGCCTTGGAGGTGGCGGTCTAGGAGGATCGACAGTCGGTGTAGCCGGTAAATCCAATTGACTCAAGGACACTTCCATTAAAGGACCTCTCGATCTACCTCTTGGAGCAAGATTGCTTTTGTCTTCGATTGGTTGTCTCGTTGGCGGTGGTACATAAAGGTTTTGACTACTATAACTAGCTCCAGAAAGATAATCTCCACTTTCTCCTTTACTCTGCTGATGCGAGTGAGAGTTTAATGGTGCTTCTCTGGTAACGACAATCGACAAACGATCCTTGCATTGTTCCATAAGTTTTTTGGCTTCTTTTAAACTCATATTGTCAGCGGCCACACCTCCAATTCGTGTTAAAATATCGCCCTGTTTAACACCCGTACCCTCACGTGTGACTTCGCGAACATAAAGACGACATCCGAGAACAATACCGAAATCTGAAACCACATATTTTAAAAATTAATCATCATTGAAATTTTGATTAAAAAAATATTCTCACAAAATTTTACACTTATAACAATTAAAATAAAAATTATTTTTTTCAAAAATATTGAAAAATTTAAATGGTAAATGATTTTTTTTTCACTGTAAAAAAAATAATAAAATTTTAGTTTTTGATATACAGTAAAAGAATTAAATTACAAAATGAGAATTATATATATATATATTTTTTTTGTTAATTTTTAATTTGGAGAATTAATGTAAAATGAAAAAATAATTAAATTACCGTCTTTTTTGTTGCTCCTGGTGAGAGTGAGACGATGAGTTTGTGGAGCCATGCTTCCCGGAGATCCTGGTGAATTTGAAGATGCTCTTCTTTTAACCACCAGTAAAACAGTGGATCCAGAATCCCTGAGAACACGAACCGCTGCTCCATAATCTGCACCTTCGAGTGATACTCCATTGGCAGAGATAATGCGATCATTTACTCTGAAAATTAAAATAATTAAATTTATTTGCACAATATTGAAGTCATCAAAGTAATTCAAATTTTGTTTTTTAAGAAATTTAAATTATGTTTATAATTTCTCGCGTACCTAGGTAATTAATTTTTTCATAATAAATTTTTTTTGTAATTTAATAATTATTTTCCTCGAATTAATATTAAATTTAATAATTAAAAATAAATTATATGTAAATTTATTTTTAATAAAAGAATTATTTTATAATTAAAATTATAATAAAAATTAGCTTTTCAATTTATTTACAATTAAAATTAATTTTTTGTATTCATTTAGAAAATAAAAGTTTAAAAACAAGATTAACTGATGAAGAAAGTGTAGATTACAGAGAGAAAAATTTCGAGAAAAAAATTTTTTTTTGTATCATAAAGCATTTATAAGTTTCTATTTTATTGTATATTTTCGTCTTATTGAGAGTAAGAAAAATTTAACTCGTTACGATTATGTATGAAAGCCTGTTTGCAACTAAAAGGATTAAAATATTTCAGCGTATGCATGTTGCTTGGGACACATCGTCTTAACTCACAAAGAGGGTTTCCTTTAAGTAAAATGTGTAAAAGTCCACGTAATCTAAGTGACTTCCGCATGTTCTTGTCCACGGTTTTATATATTATTCTAGGAATTTTAATTCATTATATATATAAAAAGAGTGAGTTCGGCGAGTAGAAGAAATTAACATTTTTAATTAAACGGGACTATAAAATTCTTGTCAACGCAAATAAGATATATACTTTATTTTGACTTGCGGTCAGATATAATTAAGTCCACAAGTATTTTAAGAAAGTAGTTTTTAAAATTTTAATCTCTACAAATGTTATCATTAAAATTTACAAATTATAATTTTTTAAATTTAATTTATAATTATGAAGAAAAAATGTTTTCTTTCTCTTTTATTTTTCAATTATTTAAAAAACTTTTTTTTTTAATTTTGTTAATAATAAGAAAAATATTTTTAAAAAAAGTAAATTTAAGTGGAAATTATTTTAAAAAATTAAAATATTTATTAACAGTTTTCTCAAGTTATTTTAACTATATAAAGAAATTATATTCGAAATTTTTTTCGACATAATCGAAATCGTTTTGAAAAATTATTTTCACTCATAAATAAAAAGTGATGAAAATAAGACATTATAATGTATGATAAAGAATAGTTTCTTTTTCCACACACAGTGACCTGGTCATTATTTATTGTCCGATTAGAATCTTAGTGAATCGTAAATCATTCGATATATATATATATATATATATAAAAGACAATCTCTTTATATACTTAATATCTTCATGAATATAATTTAAAAGTAAAATCATATTTTATTTACATTATTTCAATCATCGATTTATAACTTATTATTCTCTGACACGTTTTCCCCTGATACTTATAATAATTACTCAAATATAAACAGATTTTTCAAATTGCATATAAAATTTTTTTATATTATACTAAAAAAAAATCAAATTATTTTTTTTTTAATTATGAGTCAACAGTTCTGAACGTACAAACGAATAAAATATTTTTTTAAATCTATAAATTTTTAAAAATTATAATTCTTGGAAACGTTCTGTTTCATTTCTATTGTATTTAAATATGATCGTATCATTAGTATCATCACCCAATCAGAAAGTTATAACGTTCAATAAATCTTTAGAAAATTACGAAGCAAATTAAACGAAAGGTCAATCAACCGGAACTTAATTCATGCTAATTAATGCGACTCTTCAAGGTATGTCTATACAATTAAAAAAAAGAAAGACATTTAAGTTACAAAAATAAAATAAAACAAAAAAGCGAAAAAAATTATCAAAAAAAAAAGAGAATAATATAATTTAAAAAATAAAATTGATTAGAGAAAAAATCTCAAAATTTGTTTGAAAACGAAACAATGAAATTATTTCAGTACATATAAATAAAATTGAAAAAAAAATCGATTGCAGGGTGATTAAATTTAATTGACAATAAACGAATAGGTGTGGTGTAAATGTTTACGATAAAAAAAAATATAAACGTACTGCAATTTGCCCTCGGCTGGTCCTGCCTTGAGCACGTCGGAAATTGCTATTGCAGGATCACCATTGGTGAAATGTGGATTGTCACGACCTCCGGAGACGGCTATTCCAAAGCCATATCCGGGTACCCTGGTCACCGTAACGTGGTGGACCTCCCATCCTCGGTCACCGACCTAAAACACAAACATCACATCTCATTAGGAAATAGATTCTTTTTTTTGTTTAATAAAACATAGAATAAATGAATCTCTGTGCGAAATATTCAACGCAAAATTTCACGCTTATTTAAAAATTTTCCAATTTTTATGAATTAGAAAAAAAAAATTTTTTTTGTACTCTAATTTTTTTATTTACTAAAAATAATTATAGTAAAAGTATAAAAAAATTTTTGTCTTCTCCTTCTTGGCTATTTAATATTTTTCATATAAAATAATTTCAGGCCTCGGATCGACTTTAAGGCACAAAAAAAGTCGATTTTAAATATTTTACTTTAAATAATTAATGTTATTAGATATTAAATTCATTTTATTAATTTTGTAATGAGAATAATTCTATAATGAATATTATCAAGAAAATTTATTTCGAATATTTCAGAATCGAACTAATTGTAAGACAAATTAAAATTTTATTTAACTAGGACAAATTTCTAAAAAAAGATCTTAAAGTTCTATTTTTATAATTTTTTGAAGTCTGATTTAAGAAATTTATTCGAATTAAAAATTTTGTCATAGTTTTTAGTTTTGATGGTTAACAAAATTTCAGACAATACTTAATCAAATTTTACAGATTTTTAAATAAAAATTTTATTTAAATAATTATAATTTTTGAAGAGTTAATGTTGAAATTTTAAGAAATAATTGAATTTCAAAAGATTTTGTTAATTTTCAGACAATAATTAAATTTTACGGAACTAAAAATAATTTATTAAATAATTTTAAATAAAATTTTTTAAAAGTAATTGAATTTTCAAAGATTTTCAATTTAGATTTTTGAAATTAATTCAACTTCAAGTGATTTTTAATTAAAATTTGTTGATAATTTCTCTTACTAAAAAATTTATTAGAAATTGCAGACAAAAATACAATAATTTGAAAACTTTTTAAATGAAAAATAGTTTTAGATAGGTAGTTGAATTTACGAAGAATATTTATTAAAAATAATTGAATTTCATGAGAGTTATAATTAAAATTATTAAATTTTCAAAAATTTTAAATGAAAAATTTTAGAAACTTTTAAATTGAAATTTTTGAAAATAATTGAAATTCAATTTTAATTGATTTTAAATTGAAATTTTTAAAAATAATTGAATTTCAATTGATATTGAATTGAAATTTTGGAAAATAATTGAATTTTAGTTAATTTTGAATTAAAATTTGTAAAATTCTATTGAATTTTTTGAAAATAATTGAAGAATTTATTAGAAATCATAAAACAAAAATTGAATTTCTAAAGTTTTTAATTGAAAAATGCTTTTAGATAATTGAATTTTCAAAGAATATTATAAAAGTTATTAAAAATAATTGAAATTTTTGTAAATAATTAAATTTCCAGTGATTTTGAAATAAATTTTGATAATTTTATTTGCTATTTATTTTAAAATTATAAACAATTATTAAATTTCATAAAAATTTACTAATAAATAAATGAAATAAATAAAATTAATTTATATAATTAATAAAATAAATTCATGAACAAGAGGAATAGAAAAATAATTTTTTTTTTTTTTTTTTTTGCGAAAACAGTGAAAAGAACAAAAAAATGATAGGTGAAGAAAGTAAAGTCAGCATCCTATTATCAATTAGGATAATAGATTAAAAATTTTTACGTCGCGCTTAAAGCAAGCGTGCGTGAAGGAGAAAAAGTCAAGAACTGTAAGTGAAATAGGAAAGGTGTAAAATGTTTCCTATGAGGAGGACGGTGTTAGCTTTTACACTTTAAGTGTCTTGTATATAAGCTATATTTTCACGAGAAATTCTTGAGGCGATAACGCGCTTGTGACAAGGCAGATTTATAGAACCTCCGTTAAAATCGGTTTTTCGTCTTCGCATAAAGAAGTCTCAAGCAGTCGTCAAGGTGTGCGCTATGAGTGTGAAAGACAGAGAAAACTATATATATACCCAGATAACACACGTACTAGTACGGTAGTAGTATAATACTAGTACGACGTACTAGACGTACTAGTACTGTACCCGCCATGTACCTTCGCACGGTACCAGGTACTGTACTAGTACGGCGTACCGGTATGCAATATCGGTAGAATACGAGTACTATACGAGTACGACGTACTGAAAACTTTTGTGACTTAGTATAACGTACTGTTATTGTACTGGTACAATACTAGTATGATGTACAATATAAAATATTATATACCCTCCCCTTTCTCTTCCCACAATAGTATTTTCATTATTTTCATTTATTATTCAAAAGAAAATCTGTGGGAGAACTGAAATAATAATAATTCATTTCTATTGAATCATTTTTTTTATTTACATCATATATGTAACTTGTATTCTCACTTATCTTAAAATATCTGGTATTTTATATTATTTTAATTACTTAACTTTATCAAATATTAATTGATTATTTCTTTACATTTAAACATTATTTCAAAAGAATTTTAAACTTGATGTTATAAATTGCTTTGAAATTTGCTTTGAAAAACATATTATCACATCCTAACCTATAAATATGTTATATGTATAAGAAAAACTATAACGAAATAACACACAATTGAATTTAAAAAAATATCAATATGATCAAGACCGAATTTATGAATTTTTCTCATTATAAATGTAAAAGATTTTGATGTTTTTCAATGAAATAACACCATGGCACCATGTCAAAGTAAAAGAATATAAATCTTATAAAGATCGATAATTTAATATAAATTTAATCTCGGATATTCAAGATGAGTACAGAAGCACAAGTTACAAACGTTAAAACTCTTTTGCTGCATCATAAACGACTTTTTTCACCAACATTTAATGCACCGTTTTCAGTGACGCGTTCATATTTGACAATTGTCAAGAAAGTGAGGTTGGGTTGGCATTACCAGCAAAGATTCCCAGTACGACGTACCAGTATTATACTTGTATCGTACAAGTATGTTGTGCTTCTTATTTCAGAAGTACGACGTACTGATATTGTACTAGTACTATACTTTTATCGAGTAATCATATTTTACAATTCTAACAGTACGACATACTTTTATTGTACTAGTACCGTACTGGTACGACATATATAATTATTTTGTACTTGTATAAAACTAGTATAATACTAGTACGCCGTACTCGTAAATAACGATTAGTACGCTTGGTTATCTGGGTATATATATACAATAATGATTTATCACGACTGCTATGCAGAGTAACTAATCTTGACCCCATGCAAAATCGAAATCGACATTCATAACAATATCACTCCTATAAAAAAAAAATAAATTACAATTTCACATTTTAAAAATGACACATTCGCTTCTTTACATGAAATCGAAAAATGTTGTTAATATACTTAACAGACATTACTCATATATGGAAAATCAGCAAATCTTATAAATAAATTATTTATTTATTAATAATTTACTTTAATATTTTTTATTGAAAAAAGTAATCACAAAAAAAGCTTCCTCCACAAGGAAGCAAAAATTAAATGATAATTAGAGAAAATCGAATAAATTATATCCATATAAGAATTGTAATATTTTATTTTATTTATTTTCTTTTTTTTTCTTTTTTTTTTGATAGAAATTTCAAGAAATTGTATAAACTACAAAATATATGCAGGGAACTACTGTTACTTCAATCTCCATACATAAATATATATTACAAAATTTTTTTTTATAACTCTTTCATTTTCATTCTTTTTCTAGAAAAGGCTTGTACCGCGAGCATTGTGAAGTAATAAAAAGATTGTTTACGTGGAAGAAAAAGCAGACGGCAAATATAAAAGAGTGAAATTTATAAACCTCTAAAGAATTGACGCCAGCTTATGCAAACGTAACGCATATATTTGCTCTACATGACTTTATAATTATTATCGCCCTCTTTTATTTTATATATTATTCTTACATAAGTAATTATTTTTCCACGAAAATAGAACAGCAAAAAAAACTGGTTACTTTAATTTTGTACGATAATTTTATGTAAAATAGTTAAATAATAATTATAATTATAATTACTTTTATGTATAATTTTAATATTTAATTGAAAAATTTCTATGTTATTATTATAAAGAAATTTTTGCAGAAAAGAACTGTTTTCACAGCTATTAATTAAAAATTAACTTATTAGCTAATCAAAATAACATTTTATCACACGGACAATTGTGAAAATAACTAATGAGAGAAATTTCTAATTATTGAGCTATAGCTGCGTTATTGAGGTAGTAATACGGAATCAAAAACTGGTCAATTAGTCAACGCGAATTAAATGTAATACAATTGACCTTTTGAACCACCATCAACATATGAAAATAAAATTCTAATTAAAAATTTAAAATGAATAAATATTCATTTAGTTATAAATAGATATTTATAATAAATTATTCATTTATAGAAAAATATTCCTCAATAAATTTAGACAAAATTTCTCTTTCATTTTTGAGAAGAAATTAAAATTTTTTCTTAATTTCAAATACTTTTATATTATAAAGAATTTTCTTTAGTAAAGAAGACAACACATACCGAAGACTTTTAAATTTCACATTTAAATAATTCTGAGTCACTTTAAAAATATTTTGAATACATAAAGAGCAATTTTGTTGACAGTGAATGTACGAAAAAGTTCTTTAAATTTAATTTGAAAAAAGTTGATATCAATTTTGTTTTCTTCATACTACAGATACTAACGATTTTATTTAAAAAAAAAGTAAATAGGTGTAATAAAATTTTCTCAGAATTGTGATTTTAAAACATTAGCACATTTTTTTGTGAAAATAAATAAATTTCAACCAACATTTTTATGTTCAGAATTTGATCGGTATAATATTTATATATGACAAGATATCAAAAAAAAATTCCATATATTTACTGCGACACTTCCTTAATTATTGTCTTTGGTACATATTTAATAATTTATTCTATTTCCTAATGTTTAGCTAAAAATATATTTAGTTTCGATAATAAAAAATTTAGGCGATTTTTACGCAAAAAAATCTCTTTTTTCAATAGATAATT